GTCTTACTAGGAGGACATCTTGCAGAAGTTCACAGGACAAGCAAGAAACCAAGTATAGCCTTTGGCTAACAGTCAGTTGGGAACTGAGGCCCTCAGACCAGTAACCCTCAAGAAGCTGAAGTAGACCAACAACCTCATGAACTTGGAAGCAGATCCTTCCCCATTTGAGTATTCAGATGATAACCACCCCTGGTCAACATCTTGATTATAGCCTTGTGAGAGACACTGGAGCAGAGGACCCAACTAAGCTATCCATGAATTCCTGACCCATCATATATGTGAGGTTATAAATGTGTGTTTGATGCGGATACTGGCCTTCAGCATCTGTGGCATTATGGATGAAATGAGACATTCACACGGGCTACCAAGCCCTGTGGAGGAAAAGGGACGGCAGGCTACTCTCTCCAGGGGAGAGCGCCCAACCCTTGCCTTGACAGGCTTTTATTGGCTTTCTAATAGCATGCATCAAAGAAGGTTTTCATTCATTATACTTAGGTTTGCTTTAGGTAATTACTTTTTACAGATAGCAATGGAAGGGATGTTACCGATTACTTCTTACAGATTAACAAGGAAAAAATGTTGCAAATGCGAGAGAACTATAAGAGTAACAGGTCTGGTTACACTTCAGTCTTTGAGAGAATTAGCACGGGCTTCAGGAAGTTACTCTAAAGATACGCAGCAAGGGTTTTCTGCCTGAACTCAGGGTGAGAGAGTTTTAGCAAGAGCAAGTCACAAAGCAGCCTAGGTATAATGCAGGCCTGGTTTCCCACTGGAGAACTTCACTGGCATGGTCCTACGTGCCAACTGGCTCCCCACTGGTTTTCCACGTGGGTGCTGAGCTATATCTAGAGAACGTCTCAAGAAGCGGTTCTCTACATGTGTTAAGCCACTAAATTTGTGGAAATTTGTGATGCATCTGTAATTAAGTTACACAATTTGATAAATATGCCTACTATATTTTCTTTCAAGTCATTGATGAAAGTGTTTTACAGAATAGTGCCAAGTCAGAATGCTGATTCATTGCACTAGAAGTCATTCCTAAATTGATGCTGATCAATGAATTAGCACTCAGGTTTATTTATTTGAGAAATGCCCTTAATTGTGTTTTCACTTGGTACATATTTGTTTATTTTTATATGATGAAATTTCTTACCAAATGCTGTTTCAAAATACCTTATATACTATATTTAGTAATTGTATCCAAAGAGAGGATGGGCTTAATTAGACATGATTATTTATAAATTCATGCTGACTTAATGGTTACATTTTTCTAGTTGTTTAAAAACATCTTTTAAATAGTTCATTCTAGAATCTTGTGTGGAATTAATGCTAAGATCTTTCACTTATGGTTTGCAGATTTTTATCATCTTATAAAAATGTTAAAAATTTAGTGATCACAAGTTTTCTATAATTTCTAGCAATTTTCCCATTTTTACATGAACTCTCAGATTTCATTCAGTGGTTTATTGGGTTAACCTGCAAGTTTTATCAAAGTCCAAGAGTATAATTTGTTCAGGCCAGAAGTAGTGGATTCATTTAGAGCAGTCAGGTGCTCTCTCAAAATTTTTCTCCTCAGTACCCTTTTGCAATGTTTATTTTGCACTTTTTAATCTAAATATTATTCTCTTCAGTAGGAAAGAAAGAAACCTGTTATCTATTAATCATTATACCATGAATTTCAGCAATGGGTCACTTCCTTGTTTTGTCCCAAACGTCATTTTTTTTGGCAGTTGCTTTGTTGAGATAATTCACCCACCATACAATTCATCCTTTTAAAGAGTGTATTTCAAGGCCCTGGCCGGGTAGCTCAGTTAGTTAGAGTGTTGTCCCCATACACCAGGGTTGCAGGTTTGATCCCTAGTCATGGTGCATACAAGAATCAACCAATGAATGCATAAATAAGTGGAGCAATGAATCCTCTCTCTCTTCCTCTCTAAAATCAATAAGTTAAACAATTTAGAGTGTACATTTCAGTAGTTTTTAGTATATTCATAGAGTTGTGCAACTGTTACCACTGTCTAATTTTAGAATATTTTTGTCACCCTAAAAAGAAACCCTGTGCTCATTAGTAGTCACCCCCATTCCCTCCCAAACTACCTTGAGAGTCCTAGGCAGCCACTAGTCTATTTTCTGTCTCTATAAATTTGCCTATTTTAGACATTTCATATGAATGGAAATCAAGCAATATGTGGTCTTTTGTGACCTCTTACGCTTAGCATAATGTTTTCAAGGTTCACCTATGTTGTAGCATGTGTTAGTACTTTTCTAGTTGCTGAATAACATTCAATTATATGGCCCTGGCCAGTGGCTCATTTGGTTGGAGCGTTGTCCCATAAACCAAAAAGTTATATTTTTATTATTGAATTGTCGAAATTCCTTATGTATTTTATACACAAGCTTCTTATCAAATATATATGATTTACAAACATTTTCTCTCATTCTGTAGGTTGTCTTTTCACTTTTTATAAGGTATTTTTGAAGCATAAAAGTTTTTTTTTAAGATTTTATTTATTTATTTAAGTTTAGAGGGGAAGGAAAGGAGAGAGGGAGAGAAATATCAATGTATGATTGCCTCTCATGTGTCCCCTGCTGGGAACTGGCCTGCAACCCAGGCACGTGCCCTGACTGGGAATCGAACCACAATCCTTTGGTTTGCAGGCCCGCGCTCAATCCACTGAGCTACACCAGCCAGGGCTGCATAAAAGTTTTTAATTTTGAAGAAGGCGAGTGTATCTACATATTTTTGTTGCTTATGATTTTGTTGTCATATCTAAGAAGGAGTTGCCTAATAAAAGAGCTCTCTCGATGTCATGTTAATTTTTAAAATGATCTTTCCCTTTTCTCCCATTAATCAGTTCTCTGTCAGAATATTGTATGTGTTTAATGTGAGATGTCAGCCTGACTGAATCTGAATGTTGGCATTACTACTTGGTAACTCTGTAACCATAGGAAAGTGGCTTAACTTCTTTAAGCCTCAGTTTCTTCACCTGTAAAATGAGAATTATACTACTTCTGGCCTTGAAGGTTGTGTTGAGGATTAAAATGCTTAGCACAGAATCTTATAATTAGAAAACACTTAATAATTGGTAGCTCTTATTATTAGAAATCTTTGAGTTGAGTGTTTTTGCTTAAATAATAATATTTTACTAGGTGAGTGTTTATCTCGATTTTGTATCCACTGCATTAACTTGTTCATGATAAAAGTTTAATGAGTATCTGTTAAACGAATATGTAATGTATAGAGCCCATTATGTTAAGTGAGAGCCAGGGTGTGTTTGAGCTTGCTAAGGTGGTAAGTAAAAAGGAGGAGAGAAAACCAAAAATAAATATTACCTACTTTACCATTTGGGCTTGGGTCAACCTTTATAGGAAAAGAAAATGGGAAGATTATGTTTCCAAAGACATTTCAAAGGAGAATGGTGCTGAATAGACAAAAGGCAGGGGACTAATTTAGAGAGAAAAATGGAAAAGTAAATCCCTACATGTTGGCTAGTGCCGTAAGACATTTTAGAAGAGATGCCAAAAGAGAAAAATGCTATCAAGAGCAGCAGACCGATCTGGCATGGCAGTTCGCCGAACAATCTGAGATTTGTTCTTGGTTGACACAAGAGTCCTTTGTTCCAAAGCATTCTCTGATCACTTGGTGAGACTGTCATTAGTCCCCTTACCCTTATTACACAGACAGATGATTAGAGGCCTCAAAACGCTCCTTAAGGCCTATAATAGGGATTTGTGATCCAGAAATTTATTGGTGTTTTAATTTATTTGTTTATCTAATTATTTAAGCAGAGTGATTAGAGCCTACAGACACTTAACAATGTCCCGTCTTCTACTCCACACTATATTCTTAACCTCATGTGAATAAATGAGACCTATATTTAAACTACTCAAGTCATGCAAATGATCTAATTTCTATTATCAATAAATATTTGTAGAATGTATGTTTAGATGAAATAAATGGTTACATAAATGAAATGTTCTTCCTTCTGCTTTCTCCTTCCTCTAGTTTTTGTCCAGATTTTACCAGTTCTTACAAATATGTTCAAATGCCAATCAGTATATATTATTTTTGTGTGCAGATAACTGAAGATTTTGGTATTCAAGGGGCCTGGCCAGATAGCTCAGTTGGTTAGAGTATCATCCCAATATGCCAAGATCCCCAGTCAGGGCACTCAGGAGAATCAACCAATGAATGCATAAATAACTGAAACAACAAATTGATATTTCTTCCTCTCTCTCTCCATCTACCCCTCCCTCTCTTTTCTCTCCCTCTCCTCCTCCTTTCCTCCCTCCCTTCCTCTCTCTAACACCAACAAATAACTAAAAACAGATTTTGGTATTCAAGCTATTTTTCCTACTCTATCATAAGTTCCTGGAAGTGTGGCTCTGTATATTACTTGTTTTTAGATCTTGCACAACACAATCCTTCATACAAAGTTGATACAAAAACATAAGTATATTATATGACTCATGTAATTTGTATAATTATATTTCTGATGAGAACTTTTAGTATAGAGTATTGAAGGTGTCAGTATTAAATAATAAATAAATATGAGTTATTAGTAACAGGTTTTTTTTCTGGTATTACTAAAAATTTGATTTTCTGATATTACTAAAATTTTTTTTCTGGTATTACTCAAAAAATGATTGAGTGAATATGCAGTCTCTCTTGCCCATCATAGGCTTCTGCCTCTAAAAAAGAGCATGTTTTAAGCAGACCTCTCTTCCCCCTTTTTTCTTTCCCTTTTTTCTGTTCCATGTCTCTCTGGCAGCTCTATTTACCTTTTTGCTATGACTCATTCTTTCTACTTATTTCTGCCTCTTGCTCCTTCTTACAATTCCTAATACTTTTTAGAACTTTGTTTCCTTGTCACCTGCTCTTTCTATTTTTGTTCTTTCTGGTTGGCTTTCTCCTCCACTTATTGCCGCCTTCTCTCCTTGCCCTCCAGATACAAGGCAGGAATGGGTAGGGAGGAGCACAGCTGGGGCAGGGGTGGAGCCACCTGTTCACCACTCAGGATCCAGAACCTGACCCTGAAGGATCCGGCTGCTTAAGCATAGCTGGGGCTGAAGTCCCTTATGGCCTTGCTACTGGAGGCTAGAATTCTGATGGACAATTTGGACTTGGTGAGATTAGAAGCTGTCCCTCTCTTTTCTACTCCCCTTTTCTTCCTCCCTGTCCTGTATTTTTCACTCAGTATCTCTCAGCTGTTTTCTTCTTCCTATGTCTCTGTTGCTCAGTATTTTTCCTCTGCCTGTCTAGCTCTGTCACTCAGCTTTATTTAGTATTTGCTTGCCTCTCTCGTTACCATTCTTTCCATTTATCTGTCTGTCCTGTCTCAAAATTTAACTTTTCCTGCCTCTTCTCTATTTTATTCTTTCCTTTATTAATTTCCTCATCCAACTCTGTTTTTTTTTCAAGGTCACTTTATGTCCACCTCTCTGTTCTTTTTTACCTTACTGTTTCCCAGAGCTGAAGTGATAAAGGAGGGAACAAGAAGCCACCCTGCTTTTTCAGGGGTCTCTTCAGCCTTTCTACTCAGTCCCAGATTTATAGTGTGTTTTGATTAGGCATTGAAGAATAGTTTGTGCTCTGCACAGATTGTTGATAAACAGTGAAACTAGAGTAAGGCTGAATATTACAGTAAAAGGTTTGATGGATATGAGATTTATCAGAATGATAACTTAGTAAGTTATATAATGTCTAATCACTGGGGTGTACAGCTGAAACTAATTAATATGTTAAATGTAATTTAAAAGGATTAAATAAATAAGTGTAAAAGGCTTCATTTTATTCTTTTTTCCCCATTTTCTTTAGGTTTATTCTGCAATACAGTGGATACAGTTTGTTATGGCTACTCTGAGGTAAGTTTAACCAATCTTATGTAATATGACTGTTTAAGCTAGTATAAATGAAACTGGAGAATTCTGAAGGTTTCTATATATTTTCCTTGTGGATTTGATTTTATTCTTTAGTTAGAAATGTTATTCATTATCATATTGATATTTTCTGAAAATTACAACAATAACAATGATAACAACAAATGCACATGGAGAGCTAACATAGGAGAATCAAAGAACAATGTGATCAACAGGATAGACTTTCAAAATCAATTGTTTTGGTAGCACATACACTAAGAACTGGAATCCTACAGAGAAGATTAGCATGGGCCTTGTGCAATAATGACACACAAACTCATGAAGCAGTCTATTTTTTCAAAGTTCAGTTATTTTACATCAATTATATGTCCGTAAAGCTGAAAAAAATCCACAGCAAAAATGAAGGGACCCCAATTGTCCTGTTTTAATGCTCTTCTTTTATCTCTGTCAGTGTTATAGGTTCTAGTTCACTTATAGCCTATGCTGTATTCCAGAATGTACAGAAATCCCCAGAGGTGAGTAATCTCTTTTTGTGTTGGATATGAATTTGTAGTGACTTAGCCTTTGATGTAATTAAGAGAGGTGTCACTTATAAGGATGGAATGATTCTGTATATTACTTGTAAATTTGTCATGATACACTGAGATATTCTAGACAGTGGTGGTAAGTCTCCCTTACCGTCTAGGTAATTATTTTAACTATAACTTTTTATACTGAGATATTGACTACTAACTGTGGATTTTAGGGGTGCATATTACTTATTAAGGTTAAGGAAATAGCGTTGTTTGGAACCTCTATTCACTCTAAGCATGGTAGGGTCTGGCTTAGAGGTGAGTTTTCTGATGTTGCTCTGTTGGTTGAATTGCTAGTGGGGCTAGGAAATAATTCAAGGACTTTACTATACAAAAGGTATTTGTTTTGCTGTTCTGGCCTTCTAGGCAATTACAATTTAATGGTGAAAACAGAGCAAAAATACATCCTATGTGAAACTTAACTATTCATACCAAAAAGATCAAGTCAGAAATCTTCCTTTTATAGAGGTATAGTTGGCAAATAAAAATTGTATATATTTAAGTTGTCAAAAAACCAAAAACAAACAAAAAATCCTTCCTGATTCAGAGAGGACTGGAAAAGAGTATGACTTTGACGCTCAGAAAAGATGTTAAGATAAATGTAACAACTGTTTCTCTAATGAGGTCCAATGGCACCAAATTAGGTAGAATGTAGTTTAGAACTTATATGGGAGAACTTTTTTATGTGGAAGGTATCATTGGATTTTATTGGGCTCATTTTAATAATAAAAATAGCTCTGTATGTGGAACACTTACTATGTTCTGACTGTGCTTAGTGTTTTATATACTTTATCTTTTTATTTAAGATTTTATTTTAAAGAGACAGGAAGAGGGGGAGGAGGGGAGGAAGGGAGGAAGAGAGGGAGAGAAACATCGATGTGTGAGAGATACATGAGTTGCCTCTCACATGCCCCCAGCTGCGGACCTGGCCCACAACCCAGGCATGTGTTCTGAACCTGGAAGCGAACAGGTAACCTTCAGGTAACCGAACAGGTCTACAGGCTGGCACTCAATCCACTGAGCTACACCAGCCACGGCTATATACTTTATCTTTTTGGTCCTCTCCTGTGAGAAAGATGGTAGTAGTCCATCTTTCACAGATGAGGAAATTGAGGCTTAAAATCATAGGATTAACTTGTTCAAGTTATATAGTAAATAGCAGAGCAGGGATTTTCAAAAGTCCAACTCTTAACTACAATCCCCTTTCAAATTAAGCACAGTTTTTAGTATTTATCCTAGATATACATGCTCAGTGTTTTAAATACATTTTTCATATAATCCTTAAAAGAACTCTGTGAGGTAGACATTTTGAATCTGATATTATAGATGAATAAATGGAATCCTAGTGAGGGTGAGGGACCTCCTTGTCTTATAGCTAGTCAGTGTTAGACCTAGAATTTGAATGTAGACTTGTCCTGTTCAAAGCCTCTCCCTCCATACACTTTTTAAACCAGAGAAATACGTTGACTAATGAAAAAAGAATTTTGAATTTTAGACACAGAATGTGACTATATAACTAGAAATAGAAAGTAGAAATCTTCATACTGTGTTGTTATTCTTGCCAAAGTAATCTTAGGTCACATACTTTCTTTTAGTATAGATTTCCCTGATGTTTGTTTCCTTTGCTGAATTTGTAGTTCAGATGTGATTAAATTAGTAAAGTATGAGTTACATAGTGGAGAGAGGTAAGGAGAGATTCTCATTTTTTCAGCACTGTTGGCCTTTTGGTCTAGATGGTGATTTGCTGTGGGAGGCTGTCTCTCGCATTAGGATGTTTCATAGGCTTTACCCACTAAATAGATGCTGGTAGCAACACCCCACTCCCCACCCGCTGCCCCTGACCCTGGCCCAGTTGTGACAACCAAAAATATCTCCAGATACCACCAGATGTCTCCTGGGAGAGACATAATTGCTCCTGGTTGCAAACCACCACTCTAAGGTGACCTGTGGCATGACAGTGGGTTAGAGCTGTATGAAAGTCTGGGTCTAGTTTGACTTAGGCTGTCATTAATTTCTCTGGCTTCAGTTCTCACACCTTCCACATAACCAGAGCATAAGGGACCTTGGCAGTCACTAGTTCACCGGTTCCCACACATTCTGTTTTCCCCACAAATTCCAATTTTTCCAGGTTAAAAATGTCGGCCATCCTTTGCTGTTTTCCTTTATTTCTTTATCAAACAAACACTTTTTAAAAGATTTTATTCATTTATCTTTAGAGGGGAAGGGAAGGAGAGAGGGAGAGAATATCAATGTATGGTTGCCTCTCATGTGTCCCCTGCTGGGAACTAGCCTGCAGCTCAGGTACGTGCCCCTACTGGGAATCAAACTGCGATTCCTTAGTTCACAGCCCCGTGTTCAATCCACTGAGCTGCACCAGCCAGTGCTCAAACGAACATTTTAACAGCAAAAACACATGGAACACATAATCTGATAAAGGCAAAAATAGTCTATTAAATTTAAAAATAATTATATTAAATTGTAAAACCATGGGAAATCTTTGAGGGGACTTAGCTGAGTAGACAGTGACTCAGAGACAAACTGAAGCTAGAAGAAAGTGACCCAGGTCAGCCTATGTTTAAACAAGAAATGAGCTCGAGGCAGATATACTTCACTGCATTGTGTGACTTCATTTCCTCATAAAGGTCACTTTTGATATTCTTTATCTTACTTAAATAGAAATATTGGGAAGCAGATTTTTAGAAGAGCGTTAGTAAGAGTTGTTTTAGGTCTTCCACCTCACCTGGACAGACCTGGACTCAGAATCTCCCTGGGGACAGTCTTTCACACAGTGCGTTTGTTACCCTGGACCCTGCCTTCATTCTGCTTTAGCTTTAAGTTAGACAAAGGCAAATGTGTGTGAGTTTGTGTGTGTGCGTTTAAAAAGAGTTTTTGCTATCATATATGTAGGACCATGTCTTATGCTTTTTCTTGTCTTCATTATTATCAAGTACTGTGCCAATTCTATTTTCCTTGAAGCATGGGCTGTATCATACATTTCTTTGTATTATCTTCAACATAGTATTTCATTAAATACCGATAGGAGAGTGAAATATTTCTTTATTTCAATAATAGGTCTTTAGTTAATTTTTGTTGTTTGATTGATTGATTTTTATCTCTTGTTACTAGAACTTACGGTTTTCCAACCATGAGTGAAAGTGTATAAACTGCTCTTCCTCTTCCTTTTCCCTGACAAAGACTTTAGGTAAATTTCAGTAGCAAACAGCTACCTGTTTCTTGACCACAATTATGTTCTTGCTTATAAAAGCTACTTGGCCACCTTTCTATTCCAGAGTTTATTTTGTATTGTTTTAATTCTTTTTTTAGATTTTATTTATTTACTTTTAGAGAGAGGAGAAGGGGGTGGAAATAGGAGAGAAACATCATGTGTGAGAGAAACATCAATCAGTTGCCTCTCACATGCCCTGAACTGGGGACCTGGCCCGTAACTCAGGTCTGTACCCTTACCAGGAAGGGAACCAGCGACCTTCAGTTTGTAGGCTTGTGCTCAATCCACTGAGCCACACCAGCCTGGGCTGTTTTGTATTGTTTTAATTTTTTACCCATTAACAGTTGTAAACTTGTGGTAAGTCATAGGCCAGTTTAATCTATGAATGTACCATCTGGCTGTAATTTTAATAGGCTTATGCAGAGCAGAGGCTATATGTCGTCGAAATAATACCATTTGATGTTTATTAAATACAATTTAAAATATTAATTCACTTGTTTTTGTTTCTATGAGTCAAGGTAACTTGACCATTTACCACTATTTGCACCTTAACTTTCCTGTCATTTGGAAGAAAGGTATGAGAAAAATTTCCTTTTGTATGGGTGAGGAGATTAGTTTTTATATTGGGTAGCATCCGATGATAACTTAAAAAAATCTTCAATTTACTTTTTTAATATATATTTTATTGATTATGCCATTACAGTTATTCTATTTTCCCTCCTCCGTTCCCCTCCACCCTGCACACTCCACCCCCACCAATCTCCCCCTTTTAGTTCATGAACATGTGTCTCAAGTTCTTTAGATTCTATATTTCCCTTACTATTCTTACCCTCCCCCCTATTTCCCATCTACTGTCTATGCTACTTATTTTCTGTACCTTCTCCCCCCTTCTCCTTCTCCCACTCCCCTGTTGCTAACCCTCCATGTGATCTTCATTTCTATGGTTCTGCTCCTGATCTAGCTGTCCTCTTAGTTTGCTTTTGTTTTAGGTGTGGTTGTTAATAACTGTGAGTTTGCTGTCCTTTCACTGTTCATCTTTTTTATCTTCTTTTTCTTAGGTAAGTCCCTTTAACATTTCATATACTAAGGGCTTGGTGATGATGAACTCCTTGAATTTGATCTTACCTGAGAAGCACTTTATCTGTCCTTTTATTCTAAATGAAAGCTTTTCTGGGTAGAGCAATCTTGGTTGTAGGTCTTTGATTTTCATGACTTGGAATACTTCTTTCCAGCCCCTTCTTGCCTGTAAGGTCTCTTTTGAGAAATCTGCTGACAGTCTGATGGGAACTCCTTTGTAGGTGACTGTCCCCTTATCTCTTGCTGCTTCCAGGATTCTCTTCTTCATTTTAATCTTGGCTAATGTAATGATGATGTGCCTTGGTGTGTTCCTTCTTGGGTCCAAGTTCTTTGGGACTCTCTGAGCTTCCTGGATTTCCTGGAAGTCTATTTCCTTTGCCAGATTGAGGAAGTTCTCCTTTAGTATTAGTTCAGATAACTTTTCCACTTGTTGTTCTTCCTCTTCCCCTTCTGGTACCCCTATAATTCAGATGTTGGAACATTTAAAGATATCCTGGAGGTTCCTAAGCCCCTCCTCATTTTTTTGAATTCTTGTTTCTTCATTCTTTTCTGGTTGGATGTTTCCTTCTGGTCCACACCATTGTCTTGAGTCCCAGTTTCCTTCCCTTCACTATTTGTTCCCTGTACATTTTCCTTTATTTCACTTAGCATAACCTTCATTTTTTCATTTAATTTGTGACCAAATTCAACCAATTCTGTGAGCATCCTGATTACCAGTGTTTTAAACTGTGCGTCTGATAGGTTGGCTATCTCTTTGTTGCTTGGTTGTATCTTTTCTGGAGTTTTGATCTGTTATTTTGTTTGGGCCATTTTTTTGTCTTGATGCACCAGTTATGTAGTGAGGGGCAGAGCCTTAGGTGTTCCCCAGGGAGGGGTAAGCTACATTGCTGGGTTGTGATACTGTATGTGGGGGAAGGGTCTGAGAGGGAACAATGGTGCTTGCTCTGCTCTCTCTCAGATTTCAATCACTTCCCCCACTTCCCACAAGCAAATTGGGCCCTTCTGGTGCTGATTCCCGTGTGGCTGGGCTTGTGTACGTTCTAGGACCCTGTGGGGTCTCTCCAGCAAACTCTCCTGTGAGGAGAGCTGGGAGTTTCTCACACTGCCTCAACCCCCACAGGTGTTTTCAGTCAGTGTTTTGAAGTTTTATTTCCCCGCACTGAGGCCCTGGGTTGCGTGGTCTGTCCTGCTTTCCAGTTGTTTCTCCCAGTTTATGTGCATGTGGACCTGGGGCTGCCCAGTCCACAGTCTGCCACCTTGCCAGTCCGCCTGCTACTGGCTTGCCCCAGTCAGCTGTACAGCCTTGCTTGCCCCACTCCACAATCCACCGCCTCGCTGGGTCTGCCAGCCACCACCTTGCCGGCCCTGGTCCCCCAGCTGTAGCCTTGCCATGAGTCCTCTCTACCCAGTTGCCTGACTCCACCCCTCCTACCGGTCTGGATGGGTGTGTCTTCTTTTATTCCTTGGTTGTCGGACTTCCATACAGTTCAGTTTTCTGTCAGTTCTGGTTGTTTTTTGTTTTTAGATTGTTGTTGTCCTTCTTTTGGTTGTGCAAGGAGGCACAGTGTGCCTACCTATGCCTCCATCTTGGCCAGAAGTGGATCCAACTTTTTTGAAACTCTCTGAGTTTCTGGATTTGTATGTCTATTTTCTTTGCCACATTGGGAAAGTTTTCTTTCATTATTTCTTCAAATAAGTTTTCAATTTCTTGCTCTTTCTCTTCCACCTTGCTCTGAGTCTTCTCTGCCCCAGCTGCCCATCTCCATGCCTCCGAACAGTCTGGGTGAGTGTTTCTTTAACTACTTGGTTGTCAGACTGCCATGTGGTTTGATTTTCTGGCAGTTATGGTTGTTTTTATTTTTAAATTGCTTATTTTCTCCTTTTGGTTGTGTGAGGAGGTGAAGTGTATCTACCTACACCTCCATCTTGGTCAGAACTTCAGAATTTTTTACTTTTTTTATGGTATGTTTTGACACATGCACTTTTTAATTTTAATTTCAGATTTTTCAATTACTTTTCTTAGAGCTTTTTGTGTTTTGTTTAGGAAAACTTTCCATAACCAGAAGTCCACAACAGTTTTCAGTCTTTAAAGTAGTTGGAACTGAATTTTGAGTGTGAGGTAAAAAAAGTAAAGTTCCAATTTTATTTTTATCCATACAGGTACCCAATTGTTATAACATTGTATTTTGAGAAGACTGTCTTTTTTCCATTGATCTAAAAAGCCATTCTATCATATATAAAAAGTCTGTATATATGCTTGTGCTTGTTTGGGGCTGTCTTCTGTTCCATGGGCCTGTTTGTTTATCCCTTTGCTTGGTACCAGAGTATCTGCACTCTGGCTCTATATTGATATGTGTAGAAAAACTTTTTCTTCAAGAGTGTTTGCTTGATCTTTCTTCAAGAGGTTATCTTGATGTTTTGTATTTCTATATTAGATTTACAGTCAGCTTCTCCAGTTCCACAAGAAAATATGTTGTGATGTAACTGAGATTACATTTAACCAATATATCAATTCAGGGAGAACTGATATTTTCATAATATTGAGTCTTACAATTCATGAGCACAATATATTTCTTTTTTAATTTAATTTTTTTCTTAAATCCTCATTTGAGGATATACTTATTGATTTTAGAGAGAGGAAGGGAGAGAGAGAAACATTGATGTGAGAGAGAAACATCAATTGGTTACCTCCCGTACATGCCTTGACAGGGTATTGAACCCACAATCTTTTGGGGTGTGGACGATGTTCCAACCACCCAGCCAGGACATGGTATATTTCTTCACTGTAGATCTTCCTCAGTGTTTCTCAATAAATATTTTATAATTTTCTCTATAGAAGGACCAAAACTATTTTTAGAAAAGTGGGAATGGGGAGGAAAAGAAGAGAAGGATACTAGGAAGTGAGAAAGATACACTTCACTGGTGTGGTCAGAAATTCAAAGTCAACAAATACAACTTATGCTGTTGTTTTCATTGATATGGAAACTTATAAGATGAATAAGTTCTAAGGATCTAAAGTGTAACGTGGTGATTATAGTTGATAGCACTGTATTGTATACTTGAAATTTGCTAAGAGAACAGAACTTAACTGCTTTCACCGTGATGGATGTGTTAACTCAGGAGAAATTCTTTCACAGTATATCAAATCATTATGTTGTACACTTTAATTATCTTTCAATTTTTATTAGTCAGTTATACCTCAAAAAAGAAAAAGAAAAATGGACAATCGTAAGAATATTAAGATTGAAGAAAAAACTGTTCTTATTTTCTTTGGGTCTTCTGCTATATCCCTAAATACTCAATTGATTTCCTATTGTTAGGAGATGTTGGCTGTGCAACTATAGCACTTCTAATTTTTTGTTTGTGGTATGTCTGCATTACAAAATTTCTCTTCTGCTCATTCTTTCCTTTGACTCTATGTCTGAGGAAGGACTGTCTCTATGGGGAGGGAAGTTCAAGTGCTAATCCATAAGTATTCTGATTCCAGGACAGTTAGAATAGTTGTGATTACACATTCCTTCCTACCTGGTATATTCCTTTATATTCCCCACCAGTGGGAGAGGTCCCAGAAAAATGCCCAGTTTTCTCCTGGAAAGGCAAAATATAAAAATAATTCATTATTATTGTCATTTATGAAATGAGGCTTTTGTTGCTTTGACAGATAAGGCCACTCTTTTATCTGAGCTTCTCTGACCTCCTTCTCGGGATATGCTGGCTCATTGAAGCACTTCTCTATGGAACTTCAGCAGCTGATAAGGACATTGTCTGCTATAACCTGCAAGCAGTGGGACAGGTGAGTATTACTGCTAGATTGTGACTATACCTTGCAATAAAGGTATATTCAGGTAAATGAAAAGCAAAAATAATATACTTTGGGAAGTAGGACCCTTTTATTTATTGTTATTCCATATTTTAAAAATTAATTTTTTATTATAGAAAATTTGGAAAATTCAGAAAAGCAAGATGATAATTAAAACTGAATATACTCAGATATACTCACTTTAATAATTTTTGCATACATAAATAATTTTATGTATATCATATATCTTTTCAGCTTTTTCCCTGAGTATATGCATTTTAAAGCAAATAAAATAGTACATTAATACTTTTTGTAATCTGCTTTTATTATTCAATAGATTGTAATTAAATATTCTTCTGTAACATCTTTGAGATTGTTGCATGGTTTTGTATTATAGGAATGTAATAAACATTGGCTTTTGGAAATACTACAGATGATTAGATATGGGTTATATATCATTCATGGATTTTCTCAGTGGAGTAACCTACACAGTGCCATCAGTATAATGATTTGCAAATATGTTCTCTTATTCTCTCATAGGTTGCCTTTTCACGCCATTGATTATAAATCTTTTGGTACACAGAAATGCTTAATTTTGATGTAGTCCAATTTACTTATGTATATATTTTTGATGTGTTCAGAAATCACTGCCAAGTCCAATGTCATGCAGCTTTTTTCCCCTCTGTTTTCTTCTAGGAATGTTATAGTTTTATCTCTTAGGTTTAGGTTTTTTATCCATTTTGAATTAGTTTTGGTATGGTATAAGGTAAGGGTCCAACTTTGTTCATGTACCTGTGGATATTTACTTTTCCCAGTACCATTTGTTGAAAAGACTGTCATTTCCCCATTGAATGGTTTTGTCACTATAGTTTAAAATCATGGGACTATAGCCCTGCTGATGTGGCTCAGATGGTTGGAGTCTCTCCTCTAACTGAAAGATTGTGGGTTTGATTCCTGATCAGGGCACATGGCTAGGTTGCAGGTTCAAACCTTGGTCCTGGTGCATATGGGAGGCAACCAATTGATGCTTCTCTCTCTCATTGTTGTTTCTGCCTCTTTTCCTCTCTCTCTCTAAAAAAGCAATGAAGAAAAAATATCTTTAGGTGAGGATTTAAAAAAATTAAAATAATTTGACTGTGTATGGAACAGTTTATTTCTGGGCTTCCTGTTCTAACCCATTAGGTATATATATTTGCCCATAGTTTACATTAAGGTTCGGTCTTTCTTTTGTACAGTTCTGTGGATTTTGATAAATGCATGTCATATATCCACTATTACAATACCATCCAGAACACTTTTACTGTCCTAAAGATTTCTCACCTGCTTATCCTTCTTCCCTCCCTCTCCCTCTCCCTCTGGTAACCACTGATCTTTTTACTATTTCTTTCTTATTTTTTAAAAGTATTTTTTATTATACTATTACAGTTTTCCCAATTATCTTCCCTTTATCCCCCCTCTGCCCTGCACCCCCCAACCCTCCAGTATTCCCCACTCCCTTAGTTTATGTCCATGGGTTGTACATACAAGTTTTTTGAGTTCTCCGTTTCCTGTGCCATTTTTATCTCTCCCCATCTATTTTATACCTACTAATTATGCTGCGTCTTCCTTGTACCTTTCCCCCCCATTCCTCCCTTCCCCCTCCCCTCTGATATCCCTCCATTTGATGTCTGTGTCTCTGATTCTGTTCCTGTTCTAGTTGTTTGATTAGTTTTTGTTTTCGTTGTTTTTCTTTTAGGTTCATTTGTTAATAGTTGTGAGTTTGTTGTCACTTTATTGTTCATATTTTTTATCTTCCTTTTCTTATGTAAGTCCCTTTAACATTTCATATAATAATGGCTTGGTGATGATGAGCTTCTTTAACTTGAATTTATCTGGGAAGCACTTTATCTGCCCTTCCATTCTAAAGGAAAGCTTTACTGAATATAATAATCTTGGAGATAGGTCCTTGCCTTTCATGACTTTGAATACTTGTTTCCAGCCCCTTCTTGCCTGCAAGGTTTGTTTTTGAGAAATCAATTGGTAGTCTAATGGGAACTCCTTTGTAGGTAACTGTCCCCTTTTCTCTTGCTACTTTTAAGATTCTTTCCTCAATTTTAATCTTGGGCAATGTAATTATGATGTGCCTTGGTGTGTTCCTCTTTGGGTCCAACTTCTTTGGAGCTCTCTGGGTTTCCTGGACTTCCTGGAAGTCTATTTCCTTTGCCAGATTGGGAAGTTTTCCTTCATTATTTTTTTCAAATAAGTTTTCAATTTCTTGCTCTTATTCTTTTCCTTCTGGCACCCCTATAATTTGGATATTGGAATGTTTCAGGTTGTCCCAGAGGTTCCTAAGTCTCTCTTCACTTTTTAAAAAAATAATTTTATTTAGTTATTTTTCAAATACAGTTTTTTGTCTATTTCTCCCATCCCAGCTTCCCCCGCCCCGTGCTCCCCACCTCCCTCCCATTTCTACTCCCCTTAGTTCTTGTCCCTGTGCCCTTCATATTTGTTCCTCCAAATCCCTCCCCTTTTCCCCCCTTAAATTCCCTTCCCTTTCCCCTCTGGTCACTGTCCCCTTGTTCTCTATTTCAGTGTCTTTGTTTTTATTCTGCTTGCTTTTGTTGTTTAGCTTCCTGTTAAAGGTGAGATCATATGGTATTTGTCTTTCAACCCCTAGCCTATTTCACTCAGCATAATGCTTTCCAGTTCCATCCATGTTGTTGCAAAGGGTAGTAGCTCCTTCTTTCTCTCTGCTGCATAGAATTCCATTGTGTATATGTACCACAATTTTTGGATCCCTTCATTTACTGACAGGCACCTAGGTTGCTTCCAACTCTTGGCTATTGTAAATTGTGCTGCTATGAACATTGTGGTGCATAGGTTCTTTGAAATTGATGTTTTAGGATTCTTAGGATATAATCCTAGCAGTGGAATTGCTGGGTCAAAAGGCAGGTCGATTTTTATTTTTCTGAGAAAATTCCATACTGTTTTCCATAATGGTTGTACCAGTCTGCAATCCCACCAAAAGTGAACTAAGGTCCCCTTTTCTCTACAACCTCTCCAACATTTGTTGTTTGTTGCTTCTCTTCACTTTTTTGAATTCTTGTTTCTTCATTCTGTTCTAGTTGGATATTTCCCACCCACCCCCCCTTTGTTCCAGATCATTGCTTTGAGTCCTGGTATCCTTCCTGTCACTGCTAATTCCTTGAATATTTTGCTTTATTTCATTTTGGGTATCTTTCATTTGTTTCTTCATTTTTCAACCAAGCTCAATCAGTTCTGTGAGCATTTTGATTACTAGGACTTTAAACTCTGCATTAGATAGGTCGGCTGTCTCCTCATTGCTTAGCTCTCTTTCTGAAGTTTTGCTCTGTTCTTTCATTTTGGCCATATTTCTTTGTCTCGTCACACCAGCCTGGTTGTCTTGGTTGACTTTTTCTTTAATTCCTTGGTTGTCAGAGTTCCATGCAGTTTGATTTTCTGACACTTCTGGTTGTTTATTGATTTTAGATTGGTTGTTATTTCCCTTTTGGTCGTGCGAGGAAGCGAAGGGTTTCTACCTATTCCTCCATCTTGACTGGAACTCCGCTACTATTTCTATAGTTTTACCTTTTCTAGAATATTATGTAGTTAGAATCATGCAGTATTCTTTTCAGGTTGGCTTCTCTTACTTAGTAATATAAATTTAATATTCCTCCATGTTTTTTTTTGTGGCATTATTACTCATTTCTTTTTATTCACTTTATGGACATACCAGGTTTTAAAAAAATCCATTTACTTATTGAAGGACATCTTGCTTGGTTGCTTCCAGGTTTTGGGAGTTACAAATAAAGCTGTCATAAATATCTGTGTGTAACTTTTGTGTGCATATAAGTTTTGAAGTCATTTGTGAAAATAACTAGCAGCATGATTGCTGAATTATATGGTAAGCCTCTGTTTACCTATGTTAAAAAAAAAAACTGCCAAACTGTCTTTTAAAGTATCGGCCATCATGTTCCTTATAATAATGTTTTGGACATCAAATGGCTGCATCTGATGTCCAAATGCAACAGGGAAGCATGTGGAGCTGGAAAATTCCTATTGCTTAGTGGCATCGTAGTCTGTGACTTGAAACGATTTTCCAAGAATGAAGAAGTTACAGAAATCAAGAAGGCTGTGGTTGAGATGGTAAACAACTTGAACCTGGGTGTGGATGAGGATGACATTGAGGAGCTCCTAACATGATTCCTGAGGAGTTGACTAATGAGCAGTTGTTGGAACTGGAACAGAAGCTCATAACTAAAGGAGAGTCAAGAGAAAAGTAAACTGCAGGAGAAAGAAGACGAGAACCTCCTAGAAAATGCACAGTGAAGAGGTTAGCAGAAACTTTTATATGCCTGAACAAGCTCCTGAAAAAGTTTGAAAACATATATTCCAACAATGGAAGGTTTTCATTGATAGAGAGGAATGTTTACAAGCAGATCTATAATGAAGAAAAAAAAAAGCAAACCATCTCACACACACACACACACACACACACACACACACACACACGAAAATAGTGACAGCTCTTCAAGAAAAGCCTCAGCCAGGTCTTTCAGGATGTGTTCCAGAAGAAGACGTTGTTATTCTAGGAGATGATGGCTCCATGAATGTTTTTGCCTCTGAAGGCCTTCCAGTGGGACAAGATGTGGATGTGGAAGACAGTGGTATTGATGATGTTGACCCTGTGTTGGCCTAGGCTAATGTGTGTATTTGTGTCTTAATTTTTAACTAAAAAAGTTCAAAACATTAAAAAGTTAAAAATAGTCCTGGCTGGTGTAGCTCAGTGGATTGAGCGTGGGCCTGCAAACCAAAGGATGGAAGTTCGATTCCCGGTTGGGGCACATGCCTGGGTTGCAGGCCAGTTTCCAGCAGGGGACGCAGGAGAGGCAACCATACATTGATATTTCTCACCCTCCTCCTTCCCTTCCCCTCTAAAGATAAATAAATCTAAAAAAAAAAAAAGAAATAAAAAGTTTAATGAGAATATAAAG